ACAAGAGCACCACGTGGGCGTCGGATTGCTGGGGGAAGGATTTTCTCGAGAGGATTCCTGGCACCTAGATTTTTCCTCCTGCGACTAAAAGCGAGAGCGCCATAAGCCTCTCACTTGTGTAAAACGACAAAAAAAAGAAAAGAAAGGTTTTTATAGTTTTTATTGTTTATGAAAGCTCAAAGACAGATGCTCTCTCTTTCTCTTTCTCTCACACACACACACCTTTTTCGTTTTTGCTGACCGCGTCGGAGAGATCCTCGAATGCGTCGTTTTTTCAAGATTTGTGTCGTAGCAGGAGAAAACAACCAGAACAACGTCTACCCCATCTCGATGACTGGCTTTCGGCGTGGCCTCGGCTCAATCGATAACGAATCAGACCAAATGTCACGAGTGTTGAACACCAAAAATGCGACGGCTCCTCTGAACATCCACATTTCTAGACGTAAAATAAGCTTTCGATTGCGTTCAATATTAAGCGTTTTTAGATGTTCTGTCAGAAATTGGACTCGAAGCCTGTCCACGTCGGTTGCGTTGTCTTTGGCTCGTGATTCACAACAGATGCGAGAAAGTGGTCGCAACCGCCAACTTCTTTCTATGATTAAAATATCAATAAAAGCCATTCATCAAGCGGATCGACAAAAACTTGCCCCGGTTCTTTATTGTCTCTCTTTTTTTTTTCTCGGTAAAGCGATTAATGGTTAATGGTCAGTTTGCGCAACTATTTTTTCCTTCCTGCTGGAAATTCGCCGAATGTCTCACACCCAGACACAATTCCCAGTGCCTTCTCCTCAACCTGGGTAAACACACGTACGTACGCGTTCTATACGTCTGCAGACGCACTCACGAGGAATACATCCACGGAGACAAATCAGCACCGGGCGCAAACGTTGACGCGTCTGTTGGTTGAGACCTTCGTAGAATGAGGCGAAGGACAACTTGCTAGGGCCGGTATACTTGAGTGAGGACCCTTCGCGGTCGTTGCCGCTTACCTCCATCCATTCTCCTTAAAGCCGCGGTCGTACTGATAATGCATCATACATCAAAGAGTCTGCACTGAGAGTGCCTGAGGCGTGTTTCTTCCTTGTATGACTGTCCTGTCGCATTGATCACATGAAAACTGTCTTTAGCTATACGTTCGAAGCATACAGATATGTATGAAGCAAACGTGCCTCGAGCGGACTTGACGAGTGTTCGCAGATAATTCTGTCTCATGTCTGTAACGAACGCCGTGCCTTCTCCATGATGAATGAGCGGTGTGCCTGAAGCTTTAGCCTCGTTTCCCGTCTAGCCTGCGCCTTTACTATTCTTTCAGCAGATCATCATTCAATGATCTGTTGAGGCTCTGGCGCTTTGGCCTTGATTATTTTTTCTTCAAATTCGGAATACTTTTTTTTTTTTTTTTTGCTTTTATCTAGAAAGCTAATTTTCGGTTTACGTTGGATTTTTTTTTTTTTAATAATAAAGTTTTTTTTTTTTTTCGGTGATGCGTGAGGTATTGCCATTAAACCTAAAACCGTGTACGGTCCTCGGTTTTCTCGTCTTTTTGTTAGCACCGAGTGAATGTTTACAAATGGCTTTGCTCAGCACTACGCTGTTGTCGGGATTATGGAACTGCCACATGAAAGGTGACAATCTAGATTCTGTGTAATTGGGCTTAAAATTTAGTTGGAAAAATTCGTAAAACAGCATTATTCTCACGGTAGCGAATACAACGTTAAAATAACGAGGAAATACGCGCGGGCAAGTACAAATTAGGGAGTTATCGACATGCGCTCTACCCAGGGTGGACACAGAAAGCAACCTTGAAGTTATCTGGTAATCGAGATCGCAATTACATTATAATATGAATATAGTAAGCACCCTTCGTTGTCAAATAAAATTCAGCTGTGTTTGAGACTTTGTGTTTGTCCGTTCCTTTTTGTCCCAGTCTCGGGGTTTTTGTCGAAATGTATAATAAATCCACTGACGTCGTTTGTGATATTTTTCTATGTTAAAGCACACTCGGTATTTTCTGCATTTACGAGTCAGGTTTCTGGAACGATTTCTCACGATTTACCACGACCGCTCGTTGCTCTCCTCCCGTACGAGTGACCGTGCGTTTACGCTTGAAACCGGAAAGCTGCCGAGATGAAATACTACATCAGCTAAAACTTACCAACCAGACAAATGCGGGCGCCAAAATGCAACCGGTACCACATTTCAAAGCACTGCATACTTCATGCACTCACGAAACTCTGGTTGCAAAGTGCGAATCTAGTCATTAGTTTCACTAAGAACTTTCAAAATGCTCATATATTTAGAAGTTTTGGGACATTTCGGGCAATAAAAACAATCCAAACCCCACTCTCCACAGGACTGGGATGGGAATTCGGCACACAAAGCCGGATCAAAAAAGGAAAAAAAAAATGTGACCCCCAAAAGATTGTTTAATGTTGAACTAGCCCCAGTATAAAGTAGGAGGATACCGAAGATAGCTAACAATTCCATAGGGATGTGAGTCACGAGGGGTCGCAAAAAGAACCCCCCGCCCCCTTTCCCCCAAAATAAAAGGAAGACGTAAAAAAAAAGAAGTTCATCAGCCGTGCCTCACTCTAATATACTGGCGTACTTTTTCGGTTAAAATCGAATTCTGAAAAATGAATCTCGCTTATGTTTATTTGGTTTTATCGGTTTAAACCAAAAGTGCAAAACCCTATCTATGATCTATAAATCCTACCTCTATTATGGAGGTTATTCTATCTCTGTGCATCAGTTGGAAACAACTGAACAGCCTGAAGCAACGTAGGATCTATCTATTAGCCACGGCTTTTACACACCCAGTACGGAGGGGGTCCGGGCTCTCCCCTCCGTCCTGATATCATCTCATTGATACCGCACTGCTAATCGTTCGTTGAAGTGCATTGCACATATACGCACGTTACCTTCCACAGTCTGAGTGGTGCCTCCCTTGGTGGGCAGAAGCCAACGGCTTTCGACGATTGGCTGCGTACGCCCGAGTTTCCGGTTCTGCAGCGTATGCCTACCTTGCACGAAATAGTCAATTTGCTTCGATGTCCACCGTATGCTCCAGGAAAACGCTCGCGTACGACGTAGACAGTTCTCGTGACGGTGTGCTCACGCCCGAGGAACGTCTCCGGAGCTCGGTACTACAGTGCGCTTGTCACATCGGCCGCGCAAAATATGTGTTTTATCGGCGTGATGTCAGCGCTGCATCAGGCACCGTTTCCAGCGCTGATTTTTAAGCTAAAACAAGCACCGGCGTCTCTTGTCGAGCACGAGGCCTCATGCAATGCAAGCATCGTTCGAGGCAACATAGGCTGGCTTAACATGAATGCGATCATAACGCGATGAAACGAACAGGGACCAATCACACGCACCCTTTCTTCCCACTTCTTCCTCTTCTACCCATCTACTACCAATAAAAATAGTCATATCTCGATTCGATGCGCTGCGGTCGCATCCATGTAAACGCCACCATACTCGTGCTTGCAGCTTTGGCTTCGTTCGCGCATAAAGTGAAACTAGACTGTGCTAAGTCAAACCAACTACACCACCTTATTCGAAATGCATTACTCAATCTCACAAACATCTGCGGTGCAGAGAAAGGCATGAGCACGAGGGCGTGGCCTCGGAAAGAACCTCGTACGCACAAGTTTTCTTACAAGCAAAATCATTCTACAGATGCTACTGAGCTAGGTTCACGCGCCGGTACCTTTGCTTTTACTCACGGTGTAAGATAATATTCTTCAGGTGAGGACAGCGCGCTTCTCGCGCAGTGCAGATAAAGTTCGCTTTTCGCTCTCTATTTCGCCCTCTCACTATTGTTTCAAGCGGCGCCGGCAGATGACTCGTCGACCCGTGGGCACGGCAAAGACGGCTCGTGCCGCCTCATGCTCCACACGCACAGAGCTCCAGCGAGGCTGTCGCTCGTGCAGAAAGACCACGGTGGACCGGGGTGTCATGGCAACGAGATAATTTTTGTTCGCTCTCACACAATTTCGCCGTTTCGCCACCGGCGACACTGTCAGCCGCGGGTACGGTGGCCGCGGAATAAATGCAGCCTTTCGGATGCCCGTCGAACGAACACTATCTGATTCCTCGCGCCGCGCGTTCAGCCCCGCCGTGTCCTCATCTAAAGAGTGTATATTACACCGTGCTTTTACTTCAGACATTTGTGGGATGGATTAATGGTCCCAAAGGTTTTTGTACGAAAATATGTTCGCGTTCCAGAAACTCACGAGCGACCATGCTCGTGTCGGCGCTCGTGCAACGCACGCGCGTTCACTTACATAACTGCAAACGTAACATCCCAACCTTCCGAACCGGCGATTTCGGAAAATGGCAGAGGGGCATTAGGAGAAGAAGAAGATCTTTTCGAATCATTCCCGTCTCGTTGTACACGGATGCTTGCTTGACTATATCAATGGAAGCAAAAGCGAAGGGAGGCGATGAACGAATGCTGACGCCGGGGGTTCAGGAAGACGATAGTCCACCTGGCCATCGCGTAGACGTGGTGGTCGAGGTAAATGCCACCCCGAACCCGTCAGCTATGTTGGTTACATAGTTACTAAACGTTGTGTTCAGAGCGTGGGGAGTTGACAGCGATATGGTATGTTCTTGAAATAAGAAACCTCTCGAAGACCTCAGAAAGGCAGCAAGCCGACGTTTCAATGAGAGTCTCAGCTTCTTTAGCATGTTTCGCTAAGAGTGGCTTCAGCATATTTCACTAAGAGTCGTAGTTTCTTCAGCATGTTTCGCTAAGAGTGACTAAGAAGCTTAGTTTCTTCAACATGTTTCGCTAAGGGTCTTAGCTTCTTCAGCATGTTTTGCTAAGAGCCTTAGCTTCTTCAGCATGTCACACGAAGATGTTTAGCCAAACGTTGGTTGCTACGCTGTGGTTTCCAGGAGGCTCCTCTTACGTTCTTCCCACCAGCTTCGACTGCTTTTGTGTTCCATGTTGTATGTGTGTTGATGCTGCCATTGGGGCATCGTTGTTGCAGGTTGGCGGGGAGTCGGGCGCCGAAAGACCGATGGCAGAGATCCTGATTGGTGCTGCAGCCTCATGCTCGGCCAGTCTGCTCACGCACCCGATCGAGGTGGCCAAGATACGTATCCAGTTACAAGGAGAACTCCAGCCTCCCGTCAAACGTAAGCTGAAGCGATGTTTGTGTGGTTTTACGGCCATGCTCCTTTGATTTCGCTGTTTTAGAGTAATTTACAGAGTGTGTTTAAAATAATTACGCTTATTGTCGTAACGGCACACGGGGGGTTTGTTGTCCGGGCTTGTTAAATTCTGGCGCTCAGGTTTTTGGGGAATATTGACGGATTGGCAACACCAATGTCTTCCACGCTGAGTGCTAGCTTTTGAGACTTGCCTCTATGTCAGCTTTAGAGTAGACGATATGGGTAAGCCTTGTGCATCGGTATGGGTCCACATGTCAAAAACATAGGCTCTGGGGATTCCGTTTGTACCGTGGGCTCACGTGTGATAGTCTAGGCTGCACCGTAATGACGGTCATTTCTGCTTGTTCTTGCCGAGGAGCACGAATTCGGTGGTGCCAAATGTTTGCTGTAGAAGACATGCCGCCAGCAAGACCACCACACTGGCAGCTGTTGGGACATTAAAGGGGTTAGTACACGCCAAAAAATGAAATAACTATACTGCTAGGACCCATTGTATGTTCCTATAATTCTGGTAAATTTGTTTTGAAAATGGCGCGATCGTTTCGTGAATAAATAGATTTATATGCGGGACCCTCGGATCCGCCCAATTCGAGAATGGCGCCGTAGTTGGCGGGCTAGTGATGTCACCAGCCAGCTCCGCGGCGTCCCCTGGCACGCACTCATGGACTTTGCTATTTTGGCGTCTCGAGCTTCAGTTTCTTCGTTTACCCTCGGCGTTTCGAGCGTGCGGTCCGTGACGATTATGTGTATGGCATCGCTCGCTTCGTCGAAATCTTCGACACTGATCGTGGCAGCGATAAGAGATATTGTTATCAAGAGATGGGGGAAGCTTCTCATTTTGACTGCGACCCGCTGGCGACCAGTTTTAGCGACAGCGAGTCATGGACGAACTCGCCGTGGTCGCCGTCGTCCGGGACATTATCGCAGGCGTATACAGGGTGGAAAGTAAAAGGGCCGGGTGTCGAGAGCGAGAATAGAGTTGGGGTTGCGGAGTGGCGTGAGCAGTTTTGATCGTACCGCGGCGAGGCGAGCTTCGGCGATCATGTGGGCGCCTAGAATGAGAGAGCGTTCATGATCACGTGGTTTATCGGCACCATGGTGTGACTAACTTGGCCAGTGTCGCCTGCTCGCCAGATGAAAATTATCAAAATTTGTAGATTGATTATTGCAATTACTACAGCTCTAAAAATTCCGAAGCTTGGTGTATATACTTAGTATTCCTTGGCCATTCCATTTAAAAAAAAATAATCTATCCGTTTAATTTTAGTGTCCTGGCCCCTTTTAAACAGAGGCCTAGATTGCTTTCGCGTCTTTTGCGTGAAGCTGAAGGCGTTACTGTACTTAAGAGACGACGCCATACTGGCGGGTCCTTCTACAATGCGCGGCTTTATCTGCAACAAAGTCTTAACCGCTCCGTGTAGTTCTGAAGTCAGCGTCGTCTTTAGTGTCTGGTAGAAGGATGTTCTTTTGGATAATATTTTGAACAAATGGTTTTCTCGCAGGCAAGGACCGGACCAAGCAACCTCGCCTCGTCTACCGGAACGTGCCACAGGCCATCTATACCGTCGCCAGATACGACGGCTTGCTGGCCATTTACCGTGGCCTGTTGCCAGGCTTAGGCTACCAGCTGCTAGCAAACGGATTGCGCCTGGGGATCTTCCAGATTATTGAAGACTTCGGCTTTACGCTGGATGAAAATTTGGAACCCAGCATCCGACTCAGCGCCATCTCTGGGGCTGTGTCTGGAGCGGTGGGCGCTTTCGCCGGATCGCCGCTCTTTTTGCTCAAGACGCACATGCAGGTGCGTCCCAAATCTTCCTCGAAATTAAATTAGTCGCTGTTATCGACGAGAGTCTAGACAAGAAGCGTTATAAGGTTTATACAGACTGGGTCCGAGCCTTGGCAATGCTCTTTCTTGAGACTGCCTTAGATAAGGCCGATTGATTTAATATCGGGCTAATCACCTTGGATGCTGAACACTTTTCGGAACAGGTTTGTACCGTTAGTTGATTGTTTTCATGTATCACGGTAACTAAAGAAATGGTCCGTGAGTATGTCTTACAACGTGCGAGTGTGTGCTCACGTGACCTATTCTATTAGTTCTTTATGCAGTGCCGTTCGAAAACTCGTGTTGTACATATTCTGAAGTATGAAGAACAAAACACCTTACAGAGTCTCACGTTCACTTCCCTGAATTTCCGAAGTTGTAATAAAAACTAGTGGAGAATCTGGAGTACATACACACAGTATCCTATGATATGATCGTCTGCCATCGAGTAACTGCTAACTCTTTTTAGCGGGGGCACCTTACAAGGGTTTGGAAAGATCTTTCTTTGAAGATTTTCAGAATATCAATTGACGTCTTGCTGTAAGAGGCCCATTAAAGGCAACTGTCTCCTAGTTGGCTGCCGTTCCCAGGCTCTAACGCTTTTCTTCAGTCATTTTCTTCACTTGGTCTTGGACACAAATGATGCATGCGGTTGTGATTGTTGCTCTCTGAGCAACAAACGTCGTCCACTGCCTTTCAGGTTTACTCGGCCACTGCCTCCATCGCCGTAGGCTACCAGCACGGATTCTTGACCGCCCGGTCTGCCTTCATGCATATCTACCGCACCCAGGGACTCTGGAACGGACTTTGGCGTGCTACCTCGTCCAACATCCTGCGCATCTCCACCGGGTCCGCTCTGCAGATGTCCACCTTCATCGGCCTCAAGACTCTCCTCAACACGGCTGTCGAGAACCGCGAGCGCTACTTCTTCATCAACACGGTGCTGGCAGCCATCATGTCGGGACTCATCTCCGCTCCTCCTATCGCGATGGTGGACGTGCTACGCGCACGCATGTACGCCCAGCCGTCGGACTCTATGGGCCGGGGACTCTACTACCGCAATATCTGGGACTGCATTCGGAAGATCAAGCGTACCGAAGGTCTGCGGGGACTCTCGAAGGGCGCCGGCGGTGCGTTTCTCTACACCCTCGTGACGTCGTCGATCACCCTCATCTCCTGGGACGAGCTCAAGAGCGCCAGGAGGGAACGCAGGCACTCCAGAGACTACTACATCGACTTTGGTTACCAATAAGCTATAGCTGCAAGCCTGTTGGTTAGCAACGGGCTTCGGCAGAATCACGCGTTTACCTTTACCAGATCGTACTATACCTCCGTTTCACACCAAGTCCGACCGCCCTTCAACGCTACGATCTCGAATCAAGCGGCGCCAAAACTGTTGCGTCACGGCGCTCGTCTTCTCTGTTCGCTTGCTATTGCGGGCTAAACCAATCACGCACAGTGACAGCGCCGTGATACTACGTTTTTTCTCTCTCTCTGCGTGATTGGCTTAGCTTTAGCGGGTGATTGGAAAGGCACAAACGTGACGGCGCCGTGGCGATCCAGTCTCTCTGCCGCTGGATTGGCTCCATCGGGTCGTAGCGTCGGAGTTAATGTGAAACGAAGTATGGAGCCACAATATAAGCTAGGCTCGGAGCATCGGCACTCCGTTCACCGATTATCTCGTGGGCGCCGCCATTTTGGTGCTTAGCGCAGAGCGGGCGCGATGGGCCCTTTTCAAAATGTCCATCGAGCAACAATGGCAGTCACCATTGCTTGGACACGACGCGCGTGATTGGATCCGAGTCGTCGCCGAACGCTGACGTGGCGCTCGTGTCCAATACATGCCCAGCGTGCGTGATCGATCAATGGCAGACAGGCGTTGGCTCGGACTTTTAAAAAGAGTCTATCGGAGATTGTTGCCATTTGAAAACGCGACTTTCTGAGCTTTCGACTCGGTGTCAGGGGAGCTCAGGTGATATCGTTTTCCTCTGTCGATATTGTTTTTCTCTGTTGCGGACTGGAAACAAATTTCTGCAGGACGGAAAAGCGTTTTCTGCCATTTCAGACAAGGCTTCAGATAACTGGCAACCCCTATTTTAAGCACCAAGATGGCTCGAGTGTCGTTACCCTGAAGCGTGGCTTATAATTAGGGGTTCTAAATACTACGAAGAAAAGTTACGAAGAAAATGAAACAGCTCAAATGTTGCGGGAGGGCTAAACGTTCCGGGAAACTGGCATATTTCCTTCGAAAGGCGATGTCTTTATGGGCTGTTTTTACACGCCGTGTCGGCGTATACGAGAATAAGGCTGCTAGACACGAAACGGCAAGCATGATCTCAGTCACTACTTGGGGTAGAAGGACGGGGTGGGTATTATTGGGTTTGATCTCTCGCCGCGCGAACTTCGTGAGCCGTCTGTGTTCATCTCCGCCCGAGCTCGATTTGAGCAATTTGCAAGTATTGATAAGCTTTTTTTTCTTTTTTTTTTCTTTTTTTTTTTTTTGTTGTTACAATATTAGTGAGTCTTAGACTAGGAGGTCCCTACGCTTTGGGTCCCCCAACAGCTTGGGGCGTCGCACTGCGCATGCGCACAACTTCTACAGATGCGCAGTCCGACGCCCCGAGCTGTTCGCGGGACCCAAAATGTCAAGACCCATTCACACAAGCGCTTTCGCTTACGTTTTCTTACGTTACGTTATGAATCCGTGCTTCGAATGTCGCGTGCAGTGTTGCTCCTTAAACTGATTGCCATGCTTCATACGAAGTACAAATGTCCCGGCGACGTGATTTAACGTGACGGACGTAACGTAACGCAAGAAAACGGGCCAATGTGAACCAGGCTTTATTCTGAAACTCCCTACCTATACCGGTGGGCACGCGCCACGGACGAGGTTGCATGCTTCGAAATACCCGCCCATGGTCCGATCGGGGGCTGGGGGAATAGTAGACTTTCCAGCTATCACTTCTGTCTAAGCACCATAATAGGTGCCAAGGTTGAAGCGACCAAATACGTACTTAGGAGGGACCTCTCTAGCGTTCTCAATGATTTTTCGTCTTAGCAAGCAGGGAAGACCCGATTACGTTTTTGTACTAATAGGGGTTTTTAGTAGATCGAAATACTTCACTAGGGGAATACAGGAGTCTCCCGAGAATACATAGAAAAAGACGACAACGAAGAACCGGGGAAACGCGTGATGGCGGCAGCGATGGCCAGTTGGTACCGTCTTCGTAACCCGCGATCCCGTCAACCGCACCGTATTTCAAGGCGTCGCCTGGTCACGTGCTCTGGCTGCAATAGAGGGGTTGGGGGGAAAGGCGTCGTCAAATAAACCACTCCACCAGGGAAGGATTCGGCGCGGCCGTCGTTTTATCTAATGCGAATGAGGGCAGTGTCCCGTATTCCCCTATAGTAAAGTATTCGGTAGATCGTTCTGATAACTCTCACAGCAATGCCCGATAACGATACGATGCATGCGCGGTGGTGCCGGCAGTCTTGGGTATCGTTATCGGAGATATCGAAACTACTACGTTTCACCTATGTTCAGACGGGGCCGACGGTACGAGTTGATCGGATCAATCGGACAGCATCAATAGCGCACCATCATGGTTTTCGTCATGTTTCTGTTCGTGCTCCATCATCGCGAAACCAATCATAAACAGAAAATGCCGAATGACCTGCGCTTTTGACTTTGCCTGATTGGTCCCTTTAGCTTGTAGCGTCGGCTATGTCTGGACTTCAGCCGAAACGAACGATTAAACTTTCTACTGTACTGTTTATTTGCTGTTCCGTTCCGAACCATGCGTTGCCAAACTCGTTGGATCGTCTCTAGTGGCCAATGTTTTACCCTAACTCGACATATCTAAGGAATTTTTTTAGCGACATTGCACACGATGCCACCCGCTCAATTGTCGGCTTTTAGTGCACGTTGACATTCAATACGCCGGAAGCATCGGTGCACCCTTTTCTGTATGCGCACGCTTTCGGTGTACAGTTGTTGCTTCTGATTGAAGCCGAGTTGCTTGCCAAGAAATGGCTGTTGCCAAGTGAGAGTTCTTCGCTCATCACCCAAACAAAGTATTCGAGAAAAGTTTGTATAATAATATTTTTGTTTGCTTTTTCCGCACGCTATCAATACGAGTGTTAATAAAAAAAATGTTGCTGCCATGTTCGCGTGTTATACGGTGCTGTTGGCCAACGCCGATTCTTTCTAGCTCGTGCATTTGACGCGCGCCTTTAGACAGCAAGGTGTTAAGCCGGGGTCACACTGATTATACATCATACAAAAGACAGCCTGCAAACAGATTCGAACGCCAGTCACCATGAGATCCGTGTTTTGAATGCCGCATGACAAAGAGGAACTTGGCACGAGGCATTCGAACCACGGATATTGCGGTGACTGATATCTGCCAGACGGTGTTTTGTATGATGTATAAGCAGTGTGAACCCGGCTTCCCTAAATAGGCGTCTCATGTCTCCGCATGGATGAGAAATTTAGCCACGCGACTGCTGGCATAGGGTTCTTATAGGGGTATTCACACGAAGGAGAAATCCGCCACTTTCCTCCGCGGATCGCGCATCACGTGAGATATACGTCATGCCTTTTTGACGCCTCGCGGCGCGTTCTCCTCCGTGGCGGAGGCGCGGAGGCTTTGTGCTGACAGCACGAAAGCTCCGCAAGTGCACGCGGCGGAGCCGGGGACGGAGTTTCCCGAGATGTTGACGTCACGGCATCCGTCCGCGGAATTCTCCTTCGTGTGGATACCCCTTAAAGGGGCCCTGCAATCATATTTTAGCGTCTACCTTTTTTGCGGTTTCCACGTCTCTTGGGGTTGGGGCAAGCCAGCGGGCACGGAGAGAGTAACTAAATATCAGTGCGTCATATTTTAACCGGACGACGCGGAAACCTCCTCCACCGACGAGGGCGACCCGCGGTACCGAAAGTGCGCAAAATGTGACGTCTTTGGTCCTGGGCTTGTCACTGGTCAAAGCCGCCAAGAGCTTTTTGTTAGTCAAGATACAAAACAGAAGTGTCGCGAACCGTTTCAATTATGTATGAAAGTAGTTTTTATTCACTATTTTAGATCAGAAAAGAAACAAATGCAGTTTAGAAAGTACGGAAACGAGAAATGACCCGTCGACATACCGCCACCAAGCGGCGGAAAAAAACGGCGCAAGCTAGAAAAGGTTAGTGGGATGAGGCCACGACAAACGAGGAGAGTAGAAAGGTCCCGGATGTACGCGGCGGCGCTGTGGTCGTATACCGGCTCAAGATTCCGACCGGTTCCGAGCGTTCCGAAGGCCTTCGGCGCGGGCCCTGTTGGCGATTTGGCCATTTGGCGGTGCGTCAGCGCGAAGTGGCTCCCGTTCTGAACTGATCTTTACCCCGTGTTTGCTGTCGTTTGTGGCCAATGAAATGTTATGCCGAATTAGAGTTTAGTCGCGCTGCAAATGCAATACGAGCTGCCCTGCCCGCCCGCTTCATACAGTTTATCCAACACGTGCTTTAGTGGCGCCCTCTCGAGCCGTCGACACGGAGTGCGGCAGCCGTATGCGCTCGATGAGCTCACTCAGCTCACTACTCCTCCTCTAGTTCAAGGCCGCTCAAGGCAGGACCTACGACGTCATGAAGGATGTTATTTTTTGCTTGTTTTTGTAATTCTAATTTGCCTATAACTTTTAAAATAAAGCGAAATTTGAGAAAAGAAAAGTTGGATTAAGTTACTACGATCAGTACGCTCAAGTTCAGTGCAAATTAAGAACCAGTCAAAAAGTCATTGCAGGGCCCCTTTAAAGGGGTATCTACACGAAGGAGAAATCCGCTCCTTTCCTCCGCGGAGCGCGCATCATGTGCGACCTACGTCATCCCTTTTTGACGCCTCGCGGCGCCGTTCTCTCGTTCTCCTCCGTGGCGGAGGCGCGGAGGCTTCGTGCTGACTGCACGAAAGCTCCGCCGATGCACGCGGCGGAGCCGGGGACGGATTTCCCGGGTTGTTGACGTCACGACATCCGTCCGCGGAGTTCTCCTTCGTGTGGATACCCCTTAACGTGCATCACATAGTAGTGAAATTTGCAAGCTGCCGGCAACCCTACCATATGGGAACCAATATACACGGCTTGCACTAACCTCGCACTTATTGCGGTGGCCTTGCTGCTGAGTCCGTACCTTCTACAGCTTGCATTTCGAAGCACCAGATTTTTTTTTTCTCGGCAAGAGCAAGTAGCCACCAGCATAATACTGGGACCTCACATGTAAGAATGAAGCTACAGGACATGCTTCGTTT